GGCGCGCACCGGCGCTATCACGTAGGGGCCCGGGGCGCGGGGCGCGGGGCGCGGGGGGTGGGTGGGCTCCGGGTCCATGGCGGGGGGGCCGCGTTCGGCATGCAGGTCACCCTGCCTACAGAGAAGACAGGGAGCTCGCCGACTCCAGACACGGTCGCCCCCACCCGGGGCCCGCGGGGTGCGGCCGGGCTCCGCCTCGCCCGCTGACCAGGAAGCCGCGGCCGCGCAATGCAAATCCCACGGGCGCGCCTGAGAGGCCTCGGCCGGGAGGAAGCGGGGAGGGCTGCGAGTACTGCCGGCCGCGGGCTTCCTGGAGGAGGAGTCCCGGGTCCGGCCAGCCGGCGCCCGGCGCCAGGAAGCAGGGTCAGGCGGACCCGCCCGGTCTAGGGTCGCACTGGGCTGCCGAGCGTCGGGTCCGCGCATCCCACGGGAGCCGGGTTGGAGAGAGATCCCAGACCCCCGGAGGCTCGGAGAGGTCCCATACGCTCGGAGGCTGGGGGGCTTCGAGGCTCTGGGAATACACCCCAGGCTTGGCCAGGCCTCCCAGCCCCACGCCTAAAACTGGGGTCCTACCAGCAACCCCCCAACACACTACTGCGGCCGGCAGGAGTGGGATGGAGAGAGAGGGACGGAAGGAAAGGCCGGGAGGAGGGATGCAGCCCCCGACCCCAGCCCCTACCTACGGCTGCGCGCTCCCCAGCTCCTGCACAGCTGCGGCCCTACGACGACGCAGGAAGCAGGAAATGCCGGCTCCGGGGTGCGGTGGGTGGGTCAGGGGCCTGCGGCTAGCGCAGGCCCAGGGGGCAGCGACACCTGCGGGTCCCCGGGGAGAGTCCGCAGCGGAGGAAGCTCTGGGGAGGTTTCCGCTTCCCGCGGAGGAAGTGAGTCAGGGGTGCAGCCGGGCGGGACTTGGGCTGGACGGAGGCGCCGGGCGGGAGGTCTGGCCCGCGGCAGGGTCCCCTCTCAGACTGGTCGCCCCCCTCAGCTTGCGGCTCCCACAGGTCATCTGGCGAGGTGGAGGACCCTCTGCGCCCTCCCGCACCCCTGCGCTCCTTGCGCTGAGCCCGGCCTGCACGGCCCCCCAGGACATCGCTTCCTCCCCCTTGCAGGGCCCACCCCATGGTCAGGTTCCGCTGTCCAGCTGGGTGCCCTGACCGCAGCCTGACCTTCCTTTCTGCCCCTCCTCCCCCAGGGCCCCCCTTCCTGTCCTACCACCCTGGACCCCACTTCAAAACAGGACACCCTGGGACAGAAGTTCTGGAACCCAACAGGCCCCCACCCTGCACATGAGGCTCAGGGACCCCGTGGCTGCTAGACAAAATTGGGAGGAACTTGGGCACAAGGGAGAGGACAGAAGCTGCGGCCTTGCTGTCCGCCTGCCCGCCTTGGCCCGGGCACCCCTCCTCCTTGGGGGAGCCATCTCTGCCAGGCCCCACGGCAGCCTCACCGTGTTCCGGGGCGTGGCCTGTGCACGCGTCACTCTTGCCAGGCAGCATCCACCTGCCACTGAGCACAGGCCCTGGCAGTCCTGTGTCCCCGGCTCCAGGGCCCCCAGTCTGTCCTGCCTTGACCCCCCACAAGGGGTGCCGCTGTAGGAGGCTGTCTTGACCCTGAGGAGGGGGAGGGGTCCTTCAGGGTCCAGGCCACTCTGGTCTTCACATTTTCACATTTTTGTGGATGCTGGGGGTGGGGCAAAATGGGTGGCAGGGGCCTGCAGTAAGGAGGTGCCCTACCCGTGGGGGGATGTGATACCGGTAGGCCGGCTGCTTCTGCAATAAGCTACTGCAAAGCCCATGGTGGCCAAGAGCCCATCTTGGGGTGGGGAAGGGACTCACTGAAGCAGACTGATGGGTAACCCAGCAGGGCCAAGGGTGAACTAAGCCCTGCACTTTCCCTCCTGGGTGAAAGGACCCCAGCCAAGTTCTCACTGCCTGCATCTCAGCCCCAGCACACTGCGCCCACTGCAGCAGCCTGCAGGAGGGCGCTTGCCCCAGTATCCCCAGTGGTCACCTCAGGCCACCCACACGGAGGCAGTCCCCCAGGAGGAGGAGGAGGACGTTGCCTCCAGTCTGTCTCTGCAGCGCCACCTCCCCCTACCCCAGGTTCACCGTTGCGTACAAACGGACGTATGCACCCTGGACCTCAGCCAACCTGTGACCGTGCACACGCACCAACCCCGAAGTTCTCCCTCTCACCCCACCCCACCCCACCCCACGGTTTCAGCCCTGACCCCTCCCCACAGCTGCTCTGGGACTGGCTGTCCCCTGCTGCAGCCCTTGCCATCCTGCACGGCAGGTAGCTCTGGCAGGACCCTGAGCAGGGACCACAGGTGGACCCTCCACATTGCCCACTACCTCGCGTGTCAGGTGCACTCCTGGCCAGTCTACAGTGGTCCTTTCCTGTCCTCCCTGGGGCCCAGCTCTGTCCTTCCTACTCCAGAAGTGACCTGGGCTAATGTCACAGCAGAAGAGCCCATCCATGTCACCAGCCTGCCCTCCCTGACCACGTGCTCAGGGCCCTGGGCCCTGCCTTGCTGGCACCCTGCCCCACCCCAAGGCTCCCTCTTCACTCCAGAGCCCTTCCCACAGCCGTCTTTCCTCTTCACAAAAAGCAGCTGCTGCCAATCCCAACAGCTCCTCCCCACTCGCTAGTCCTGCACCTGCCGCCTCCCAACGCCGTCACCCGCAAACACCCCACCTCAGCACTGTGTGTGGGCTCTGCTGTGGTTGGGTTGTGGTCTGAGCATCCCCAGGCTCCATCTTCCAAAGGTGTGAGGAGGTGAAAACCTGGGGGAAGGGGCTGCCATCCCCCGAAAGCCAGCCCGCCTCAGCCTTGGTAGCCACAGGGGATGACTGAGCTGCTTCCCAGCTGTGAAGTCTGCTAGCTCTGACACCGCAGCACTGGGCCTGGGCCCTGCGTCCTATTAGGGAGGGAGACTGCTCAGCCAGGCCCCAGATGAGGAGCAAAGGGCTGGTCTGTCCCGGTCCTGTGGCCCTCAGCTGCCCAGGGCTGGGGCCACCATGCAGGGCCCAGCAGCACATGGAGGCGGGAAGCCGCCTCAGCCAGGCCAAGAACAGCAGAGGCCACCACTGGCTGCCCCACCCCCAGGCCAGCACAGACACTCACAGTTTACCAAAATGTCTTTATTTACATACATGGAGACCTCCTTGCACACATTCACTGCCCCCACCCAGGGTCAAACTGCAGCTGAACATGCAGCTGTCAGTGACTAAACGGAGGTGGGGCACTGCAGACAGGGTGCTGCCCGAGGGGCCACAGGTATGGAAACAGTGCACACAAGGCTGCTACCCTGTGGCCCCTCCTACAACTGCAGCCAGCAGTCCCTGCTCTGGCAGCAAATGCCCACCCTCGGGCCTGTGCCCAAAGTGTGGGGTCACTGGAGCCCTGCTCTCCCAGCCCCCTAACCCTCACACCCATCTCTGCAAGGGCTGTGAAACTTGCAGAGTGCTGGGCCTCAGTTTGGCAAATGGGTGCTGTGGTGGGCAGTGAAAGTGAGGACCAGCTCTGGGAGGGCAGAGGGCATAGAGGAGGGGCGCCTGCCCACAGGGTCGGGCCCTTGGCCAGCCCTGCTGACTGGCCCGGGAGCCTCCTTCTTGGCTGGCTGGGGCTGTGTCCCCGAGGAGCAGCCCTGCGGAGCCTGAGCCTACAGCCCAGCCGGGGCAGGCATGCTGGGGAGGGGCAGCTCCAGCGCAGGTGTCTCAGCGGCCGGCGCAGGGCTGGGCTTCCGGTGGTCCAGCTGCTCCAGCTTCTCCCCAAGCTGCGAGTAGAGCTCCTTCACAGCCTCTCCGCTCTACGGGCAGAGCCAGGCCACCCCACATTACACACGAGCAGGTCATGGGTGGCAGCGAGCATGCTGCCAAGGCCAGCACTGCACGGCGCTCACAGGCGGCAGCAGGGGTGGGGGCACCAACCTGGCCCGTGGGCTCCAGGGCCTTCTGCAGGGCCTCCAGCTTGGATGGGGCCACCCTGGCATGCAGGTGGAGCAGCAGCCGCAGCACATGCCGCTGTACGTTCTCCTTCCTGGAAAAGGACGCACTGGGCTGGGGTTGGGGTACACACCCCCATCTCCCCAAGGCCCAGCCCACCTGCAGTGAGGACCCCTACAGGCTCCTCCCACTGCCCAGGAGATGGGGCCAAGGCCCCTCACACCTCTCCCAGCTGGGCCTGGGCAGCCCCAGGCTGCAAGGTCCAGAAGGTGGGGCCATCCAGCACCTGCGGCCCACCTGGGTGAGGCAGTAAGGAAAAAGCCTTCAAAGAGGCTGCTGCAGAAATCTTCCAGGGCAAACTCATCAGCCAGGAGGGCCAGGCTCCCGGTGAGCAGGTGGAGGAAGATGTCACTGAAGGCCAGGTCGCCGAAGGTCTCCACTGCAACAACACAGTGGTCAGCCAGGTACCACCCACCCTACTCCCGGCCCAAGGACTCTCGGTGTCTGAGGTCAGACCAGGGCCTGGGGAGTGCACAAGGTGTGCAGGGGGGTGGGTGGCCTGGGACCCTCAATAGAGCAAGACAGACACAGCCAGGGTGCAGGCAGAGATGGGACCTCTGCCGGAGTAGAGTCCAGCAGCTGCCAGAACACAAAGAGAAGCCACAGTTACTGGGGAAATGGAGAATGCGCCAGGGGCAGCGCGGAGTTCTCCAAACACTGTGCAGACAGTTCCCTTGATGAGGACAGAGGACATCTCCAAATCGCGGGCAGGCAGGCAGGGAGGCCACAGCCACCAAGGCAGGTCTGCCAGGAGCACTACATGCCTCGTGTGACACCTGGTGTCGTTTGCAGGAAGGGGAAGGGATGGAAGACCCCACAGCTGTGCCCCTCACAAGGGACAGGGACAGTGAACACAGACACTGCTACTGAAACACCTGCAAGAATTTCCTGAGGGTAGACCCTGCTGATGCCACCTGACACTGGGATGGCTGGACATTTCAGGAGCCCCAGGGTCCTACAGAGCTACTGCCAACTACCTGAGTCTCGGCCGATTCCCTCAACTGACTCCAAATCACCCCAGACTGAGCCAGCAGCAGGAAGCATGGCAGAGGGAAGGCAGCGCACAAGTGCTGGTGCGCCACCTCCACAGTGCCACTGAGGCCGCCAAGGAGAAGCAGCCAGGCCAGCACCTGCCCTGAAGGGACCAGCCAGCTGCTGAGGGACTACGGTCCGCGGTGGGTCCTGAGAAGCCCCTTCCTCCACAGGGTGCCTGCTAAACTGTTCAGGGCCACGTGGCAGTGTCAGCTTCCCAGGTCACACACTGCACGGACCGGGGCCGGCACACAGAGGACCTCACACAGTATGCTCCCAGCTTTCCATCTGCTCAGCGTGCCACGATCAGAAATCAAACAAAACTCAAAAAAAAAAAAACACAAAAAAACCCTACAAAACCCCAAATACAGTTTATGAACATTGGAGTTGTGAACTTTCACAGATACAAACAGACCTCAAATTATGAACATCTGTAGATGTGAACAAGTAGAGGAAGCAGCTAAGTATCTGCCGGATACCATCACGGCTGTGCTGCTGCTGAGTGCTTACTGTACACTGCACACGCACAGTGTATTGTGTGTTTGGTTTTTTATACTTTGCATTGTATATTTGTGTCAAAGGTGTGTCAGACTCACTTTGTCAGACTTATGAACAAATCCAACCTACATCCTCCCAGAACAGAACCTGTTCATAGCTCAGGGACTTACTATAAATAAAAGAAAATTCAAGCCAGGGATACAGCTCAGTAGCAAAGCACCTGCCTGGCAAGCGCAAGGTCCTGAGTTTGATTCCCCGTTTAAAAAAAAAAAAAACTGGATTTAAAGAAAATTCAGAAAATCTACGTCCATTCTTAGTAGAATCCACTCAAACATAAAAACAAGCTCTTAAAACCCAGCCTGGTGGCGCATGCCTGTAATCCCAGCACTTGGGAGGCTGAGGCAAGAAGATCACTACAAGCTTGAGACCAGCCTAGGCTACAAAGCAAGCTCAAGGCCAGCCTGAACTACAAAGCGAGACCCTGCCTCAAAAAGACAAAAAAAATCTCTTCCTGAGCAGGACTGAAGTGACTCCTGCTACCCAGGGAGCCACAGGTTTGGAGACACTGATGCCTGCCAAGGAAAGACAGGAAGCAACAAACGAATACAGAGAAAGCAAGGCAGATCAAGGTCATGTCTAACCACACTCCTGGGTCCCAAAGCGGAAGCAGGCCCCAACCCCTTAAAGTCCCCATGCCCCCAGGAGCCAGAGAGCATGTGGAATGCAGCTGGAGGGTGGCCAAGGACAAACTAACACCCACAGAGGGCTTCCTCCACACAGAAAGCTAGAACAGACACAACGTGCTTGGCCTGACATACGCACAACCCTGATGGCTCAAGGGAGCAGAAGCCAGGGCCTGTCACTTGCTGACACAGATGTTCCCGAGGCCATCTCTCCCTGACAGGGTCCATGGGACCCCTCTGCTTCTTCCTGGCTTGACGTTACGACCCATGGCTCTCTCAGTCCTCCATGCACCCACAGCCCGCTCCTTTACCGGTTGGGCACCAGCACCTGCATGTGCTACAGTCCCAAAGCGACAGCCGTACAGAGGCAAAGCAGGCCCTTCCTCCTGGAACCTGCAGACCCAGGCCTCCCAGGAAAAACAGCTCCACAGCTGGAGGGCAGGCCAGGGCACTGAGGCCTGCACCACAACGCACTCACCCAGCCCGGGGAGCAGGCGCAGCAGCGCGTTCTTGTTCCTCTGTTTGGTGATGTGCAGAACGTAGTACAGCCCTACCTCGCAGGCCATGCGCTGTTCCTGCAGAAACCTGGGCCAGGACGGAATGCAGGCCGTGGTGAGCCCTGCCCACTGTGCCAACCCAGGCCCTCCCACTGCGGCTCCCGGGCCCCACTTGGTAAAGCTTTCAGGAAGTGTGTTGGGGTACATGACGGGCGCTTTCTCCTCAGCTGGAAGCTTCTGGTCCACATTGAATGTGTAGTCATCCACCACGAAGGACATGAGCATCGGCAGGAACTTGGTGATGAGCTCCACCTCCTGAGGTTGGGAAGCCCCTGAGCCTGTGCCCACCTGCACAGGGCCGCCCCCTCGCACTCCCTCCAGACACTCTGGCCTGAGATCCTACCCAGACTGTGTCCCTGAGCCCCCACCTGGCACCATCATATGTCCAGGCTGTCTACCGAGACACCCCAAATACCCAAGGGGGTGTTTTCCAGAAGGCAGGCTCCAGGGTGACACTGTGGGACCAGAGGGCCCTGCCTTGCCACCCCTCAAGGAGCAGAGTATGCGCAGCCCAGATTTGGATCTGTACCATCTTCGGCTCCTTGAAGACCTGGCTGTCAATCAGGTCCCACGCCCCCTGGCCCAGCGCCAGCAGCCTGAGTAGTAGCAGGAGGTCAGGGCTGTCCTGTGGGGAAACAGAGATCTCAACAGCCCACTGGGGCTGGGCCATCACTGACCTGTGTACCACGCAGCTGGGAATCCACTGTGCCTGGGATGGACGCCAGGGCTCCCAATCCCAGCCCCCATGTACCCCCAGCCTGTACTCACCCTGGGCAGCATCTCCTGACTGACCAGCTCCTGCAGATGCCTGATGGTGCTCAGCGACAGTGTGTTAATGGCGAAGGGGTCACAAAGGATCATGGACAGGTCCCTGGAAGAACAGCTCTTGGCATTAGCTGCGGAGCCTGTCCCACCCTGTCACTAAACCCTATTGCATTAATATTATCCCCAGTTATTGTGGGCTGATCAGGCCTGCAATCTCCCAAATGAGTGGACGGCAAAGGCTTAAATAAATGAGACAAATGCAATGATTTCAGGGCTCTGGGAGGATCCTAGCCCTCTCACAAAATTTGAGATTCTAGGGTTTTAGACTAAGAACTTCTCTGGGTAGCCTGTATTTATTAGGTTTTCAAAGAAAGGAGGGGATACTGAAGAAAATGCAGGAATCTGGGCAGGACTTGGGAATGTTGTTAAGGACTTCTCCAAGTAATACATTATGTTAATTTAGGAGAACTATGCTATCTCCATGAAGGCCTTCACTATAGAAGTGGGTAGTCTGCAGCTACAGTCTCCTTTTAGTTAAGTGGGACTGGCACCAAATGTCCTCACCTGTGGCCTTGTCCTTTGAGGCGTCCCAACTTCACAGGCCAATATAGGCCTCAGCAGGGACCAGTGACTCATAGAGGTTCACTTACTATAAGTGCACTGCCCATCTCTGGACAAGGGGTCTAGGCCTTGGGCAAACACACATAAACATAAAAACCCAGGGCTGGGGATACAGCTCAGTGGCACAAGTGCCTATCTGGCAAGCACAAGGTAATGAGTTCAATTCCTGGTACCAAAAAAAAAAAAAAAAAACATAAAAAGCCGACTGGTAGGAGGCTGGGTATTTAGCTCAGAGGCACAGCGCCTGCCTGGCAAGCGCAAGGTCGTGAGTTCGATTCCTGGTATCGGAAAACAAACAAAAAAAAAAGCCGATTGGTTGATAGTAAATCCTGCTCAGAGCTGCTTCACAGTGGTCTCCATTAGCACCCTGCATGCCCAGCTCAAGGGCAGCTAAGCACTAGGGAATGGACATTGCCAGGCCTCAAGGAATGGACCCTGGAAGCAGCCTCCTCCATAGAGCAGGCAGATTTGATGTCTAGATATCTGTCACCAAAAAGCTTAAGGATCACAATTTATCCTTAACCAACTCAAAGATCTTTCCAACTGGAGTTAGGAAGTTACATATACATATGGTCAGGCTTTGGTTCTGAAAACCAGGCCCAGATTCTAATAATGCTGGCTCCGAGCCCTGGCAGGGCTACACCCCAGGGAGTTCACACACCAGGAGCCAGGTCAGGGTCCCTAGACTACCCCTCAGCTCAGAGCCGGTTCCCTACACTGCGGACACCAAGGAGCTGTGACCCCACACTCCACAGTCATAGGGTCCCTCTGCTACCACACTCTCCCAGAGCACCCCAGAATACGGCCCTGAGGGCTGGGCCAATTCTCACCCCAGGACCTGCTCCTGCCCCTTCTTCACTCCATCAAGAAATCCCTGTAGCTCCCGGGCTCTCTTGCTGTCCACAAACCGCTCTCGGATGCAGGCGTCCAGGCACCATGTAAACTGCAGCAAGAGGCACAGAGTCAGGCAAAGTCTAGGCCCCCGAGGACACCCTCTCCACTCACTCCAGTGCCCAGAAGCCCTGACAGCCACAGGCCAGTGGGTGGCAGAGATGAAGGCAGCCATGCCACACCCCAGAGCCCCAGCCAGCCCAGGCCCAGACCCTGAGCACCCCAGAGAGAAAAGGAAGATGGCAGCACCAAGGGCCACACTGGCCCAGAGGTCTACCAGGCAGGGTCAGGCCAAGGTCACCATCTGCCTTGTCACTTGTCCACCACACACTGACAAGTAAACCCAGTGCCAGTCCCCCCATGTCCAGAAGACATGGTACAGGCAGAAGGTGCCTCTGAGCCTTTGTGGGGCTGCGGGGTCTCAGGAAGCAGGGGCGCCCTCCCCAGGGCAAAAGCTGCGAAGTCAAGGCAGCACCAGGAGGAAGACCCATCTCCTCGCAGCCCATGCATGAGCACTGCAGCCCGCCTGACAGCAAGGCATGGGACAGCGTGGGATGTGAGCCGCTGCCACCCCTTCTCAGAGCACCCTGGTGCTTGCAGCAGCTGAGGACGGGAGCTGGAACAGGGCCTGCACCGGCCAGGACAGAGGGAGGGTTGGGGCCAGTCGGGGTGCAGCAAGGCCAAGGTGGCTCAGAGAACCCCTAGTGGGGTCAGCTGCTGCACAGACAGCAGAGCTCAAGAGGTGGGCTTGGCACGCACACCTTGTGGCAGGGGTCCACGGTGCAGATGTCGCCCACGTCGAGGTCATGCAGAGACATGAGCAGCTCTGCCCGCAGCGTGCAGTAGTGCACGTTCCTGGTCCGCAAGAAGAGCGTGCGCAGGAACTGCAGCACCATGTCATACAGCTTCACGTTCTTTCCCACCATCTGCGTCAGTTTCTGCACCACCTGGGGAAACAGTGCATGCAGCCCGACGGAGCCACACGACAGTGATGGGGACCCAAGCCCAGGCCCAGCCCTGCCCGTCCAGACAGCTGTCCCCTGGGCTTGTGTCCCCATCACCTCCCCTAGGGACACAATACTAGTGACGCCCCCACGTCCAGAGCATAAGCATCACTGACCAGGGCTCTCCTACCCTCACTGCAGGCAGCACAGCCACCAGACATGGGGCTCAGGCCAGAGTTCGGCCGGTTCACAGGCACCTGCCGCAAGGCCGCAGCCAACACAAGCTTCCTTGGCCACTAACTGGCCACAGCTAGCTGGCCTCGGGCCCTGGTGTGAGGAGATGCTTGAGGCAAGCTCAAGGTAGTGGGTGTCACAGAAAGCCCAAGGCACAGGCTGCCCTCAGGTAGCAGCTACCAAGTCCCTGGTCCAGTGGTCACCCTCAGGACCCCTGCACAGTGCCCGCTACTCAGGTCTGCTCTCAGGGACACTGCAGGTGACACCAACCTGTGCCCATGGCCCACAGAGCTCCCAGCCACCCACCTGGGAATTGGGTACCTCCGACAATGACGGTGGACAACCTGGACCACAGCCCTAACCACATCATACATGAAGCAAAAGGAGGAGGCAGTTCAAGGCTCCTGATCACAGGACAAAGAGGGACAGAAACCAGGGACCCACCCAGCTGCCCCCTACACACAGACCACGGGCAGGTGTTGGCCTGCCTCCCTCCCCCCTACCACAGCACTGCAGTATCATGGAGCACTGAGGACATACTGCAAAGCTTCCAGACATTGGGGCTGGGGATTTAGCTCAGTGGCACAGCCCCTGCCCGGCAAGCACAAGGTCATGAGTTCAATTCCTGGTACTGGAAAAAAAGAAAAACAAAGCTTCCAGACATAGAAAATTACACTGTGGACAAAGCCCAGGAATTCACAGCCCCTCAGAGCTGTCTTCAGAAATGTGCACCAGAGAACATTGAGAAAATCCTTCAATACTTCAAGTCTAAGTCCACCAGCTAAGTAAAGTCTGAGCAAAATAAACAGCAAGTGTGTCTGAACTCTGAAAGCTTTCATCAGTGTTTCTGAGGGGCTGGGGTATAGCTCAGCAGTAGAACAGTTGCCCAGCACAACTGACACCCTGGGTTCCATCCCCAGGTCCCAAAAAACCAAAAAAAAACAACAACAGAAAGGATGTTCCCCAACTAAACAAGAATGAGCCCAAGAAAAGTAAGCTGGGGATGGGAAGAGTGCAGATATACTGAGCAGGAGAGCCTTTGTCTAGCGTATTTGAGGCCCAGGGTTCTAATCTAAGGCCTCAAAAAATTAACAACAAAACAAAAAAAAAAACAAAAAAAAAAAACACAGAACAAGCTAGGAGACACACAAGATACAGTTAACACAAGACATGGGCAAAGAGCAGACGCAGCAAGGCCTGGCACTTCAAGGCAGGAAGTCCGGGAAGGGTATGGAGCTGGGAAAGCTGAGAAAGGGCCAGGACACAGCACCCAGGACAGCTGAAAACCTCAGGAAAACTCCCCAGTGCCCCTACTGTCCAGACAAACAGCACAAACATGGCAAACAGCACAAACATGGAAACATGGCAGCCCATCCAGCCTAGCAGGGAGGGCAAGATGTCCACCGCATCAGACACCAGGGACACCGCACTCCAGCCACGCCAGCAATGAGATGTGACGGAGAGGCAGCCCCACCCAGAAGGGTCGCAAGTCAGGCTGCAGTGATAGCCCGCAACGTGCGGAGCATGGGTACAGCTCGGGGGGCGGGCAGGAGAGTTGGAGGGAGGTGATTTTCTGCTCTTCTGCACATTTTGCTGTTTGTGTGTATAAATACAACTTTTTAGAGAAACCTCATCCTACAACAAGGCAGGACAAGCGAGTCTCACAGACAAAATCAGCTCATCAGGAAAGACAGACAGAGAAAGGCTGGGGTCACAGGAACCCCAAAGCTCACAGAGGCGCAAGCACCCAGTCTGCACGATGAGTGAGATGGGACCAGAGAATTGAAACCAGAGTAAGTGGCACTGGGAAGGGACGGGCAGGATGTGCACCACTCCCCTACGCTGTGGCATGAGCCGATCTGCTCCCCCCAGCCCCCACAGCCCAGAGCCCAGATGGAGCCACCAGCTACATGTGGCTCTTTGGCATTGGCGATGTGGCATCCATACATGCTGTAAGCATGGAAGACTCACCACACTGCAAACTTAGTCACCTTTCAAAGAAAAGCAATACGGCTCAATAAATCATTCACACAAATTATACATCGAAAGACACCCTCTTTCACCTATTAAAGGTATTAAAATAGATCTCATCTACTCTTTTTTTTTTCCAGTATTAGAGATTAAATCCAAGGCCTTCACACCTTCCTACAGAGCTACATCTGTAGCCCTTTTTATACTTTTTACACTGAGACAAGGTCCCACTAACTTGCCTAGGCTAGACTCAAACTTGCAATCCTCCTGCCTCAGCTTGCTGAGTAGCTGGGATCACAGGTGTGTACCACCATACCCAGCTCATCTACTCTTTTTTCCCTCAAGGTGGATCCCAGGAAACTTTGAATGACTTACATACCTCACTTTTTCCTTTCACTAGATGGTACCAAAGTTAGCTAATTAGGTCAGGAGTGGTGGTACAAGCCTATGATCCAGCACTTGAAAGGCTGAGGCAGGAGGATTGCTGCAAATCCAAGGCCAGCCTGGGCTACACAGCAAGACCTTGCCTCACAAAAAAAAAAAAAAAGAAATGAAGTCAGCTAATTAGGAAATCTCAATATAAAAAAAATCAATTACTAAAAAGTTGAGCTTAACACCATTAGTAATAGGTGGAAACTTTCATTCGCTGTGTTCTAAAGCACAAAAAAAATGAAGAATTCAACCACAACCATGTTAACGAATTACTTAGATCTGACAGTACCAGCTTGCTTTCTGAAACAGGATGCAGCTGTCATTTTACACTAAAGGCCTGTCCGTAGATTTTAACCTTGTTCATCTATCACTTCACTAAAAACCAACATACACAACTGGGAAGCAACCAAGCTGTGTAGCCACACACAGGAGCCCACAGTCCAAGAGAACAACTCCCATACTTGCAGGGCAGGAGGCCGCCCAGAAAGGGGCCAGCCTAGCAGCCTCCAAGTGCTCTGCCTTGGGCGCCCTCGGCCCCCTTACCTCACCCTGGCGCCTGGTCTTGGGGGAAGGACTGAAGAAGTTGTGCAGGACCGAGAGCTCCGTGCTGAAGAGTGCGTTCTCCTTCTCCAGTATGTACTGCTTCAGCAGGGGGGAAACCTCATCTCCAAAGAGCGCCTGGTTGTCCTGCCAGATCTGCCGCTTCACCTCCACCGCACAGGCGCGATACAGCTCCTTGTCAGCCATCACCAGCTTCAGCTTCTTCTCAGGAACCTGCGCAACCACCACAGCAGCCTCCTTGGCCTCCCTCAAGGACAGGCCAAGGCCCTCAGCTGGGAAAGCCTCGCCCACCCAAGGGTGCACCAGTACAGATGCCAGGCCCCGGTGGGCACAGACGTGCTTTAATACTCATAGCTCTCCCAGAATTGGCCCCACACCCCAGCAAGTCTCAGGTGTCTATCTCCCAGGCTTGCCTGGGAGGAGCGGCACAGGAAGTCCCAGGGAACAGCACTGGGGCAGGCAGCGCATCAAATCTCCCCTGAGCTAAGCAGCTGCCTGGACCAGTACAGGCTGACTTCGACCAACCAGAGGCAACTGGACAGACAAGCAGGCAGGCTGGCCAAACTGCGGCAGGCCACAGGCGTCCTGGCCTCCCGGGTGAGCCCCAGGGCTCACACCTTTGGCAGATGTTTCATGACGCACATCACCACTGGTTGCAGGGAGGGCATCTTGACCAGGGAAAAGCTCTTCTCCAGCAAGTCTTCCAGCTTCTTGTACCTGGAAAGATTTGTTCAACTGAAAGAAGGGACTCCACAGGCAGGACACCCTGGGAGGAGGCCTCACACACCGTCCTGGGTCACCTCCACGACCTTAAACGCTGCGGGGGCAATCCCAAGGCCGAGAAGCGGCAACACAACGCCCCCACCACCACCTCTCGCAGAATGAGACTTACCTCTCCTCTGCCTTCCCCTCCGAAGCAATGGCCGACACTCGCTCCAGCAACTTGTCCCGCAGCTCATCGAACACCGACTGGTGGAACTCCAGGCGTGGGGTCCCATGCAGGTCCAAGAAGGGCAGAGCCGACTGCAGGGAGGGCAGCAGCACGCCATTCTCCGTCTGAGAAAGCAGAGGCCCAGTGCGGGTGGGTTCTGCTGAGACAAAGCTCAGCCGCAGGTGCCCATATCTGCCTGGGCTCCCAGGGAGCCCCGAATACAGAGCGGCAAGTCCACGGATGTCCCAGCGGCGCCGGAAGCAACTGGGAACTTCAGAATGCACCCCGAGTCCGGCAGTGGGCGCCTGGGTGGAACGTCCCAGCACCTCCCCACAGCGGCAGACAAGCAGCCGCGGACCCACCTGGAATTGCTCGATGGCCTTGAGCGGCTCGGTGCAGTTGGTCAGGGTCTCCTTCAGGTCCTCGCCGTTGGCCACACCCAGGTCCTGCAGCCCGGCGAACATGGCCGAGGCCCCGGCAGCCGCCTGGCTAGGCGCACCATCGCCGCTCCGCTCCCCGGGCGCCGCCGCGGACACTCCTGAAGCCCGCTCCCCCGGACCTCGGGGACCGCCCGAGCCCCGCTCCCCTGCAGCCTCCAGCTCGGCGAGGTCGCGCCCGCAGTGCGGCTCCACACGGCCCCGCACCGCCCACTTCCGCCCCGCACGAGCCGGGGTCCTCCTGCCAACTCACTCCCCTGAAACGCCACCGCCGGGGCGCACAGGTTCCGGGCTGCGGCGCTCTACCCGGAACCGGCAGAGCAACACCGCGTGAAAGGCGGTGCCCAAGCGACGCTCGGGCCGTCGGCGCGGTCCCGCCCACCTCGCAGGTCCGCTGCTTGGGGCCTGGTCAGGTCTCGCGGGAAGGGACGCAGAGCCCACGCTGCCTTAGGGATTTGAAAACTGACATCTTATCCTAGTGAATTCTCTTTATTTTTGGAATCATGAATCCGACTGCTTTCACAACAGCCTCCAGACATTGGGAATATTTTTGCTACGCAAGGAGGCGCGTCGCAGCCCAACAAGTTCCCTGCACCTGGGTCCCGCCAGGTGCTAGGCACAGGTGTGGGACACTGCGTGACCTTAATGCTTCCTGGAACTTGACTTCCTCCAGTTGAACCGAAAAAGCTCATGCCCTAGGCTTGCAGCAAACTAAAGTCTAATGTGCCTTCAGCTGTTCCTGGTGGTGCACGCCTGTAATCCCAGCACTCTGGAGGCTGAGGCAAGAGGATCCCCAAGAGTTCAAGGCCAGCCTGAACTACAGAATCAGACCTTAGCTGGAAAAAAAAAAAAAACAACAATGCTTCCAGGAACACCTGGGCACCTAGCAGATCTGGCCTTTGGGAACACAGCCATGGGCCTCCTCACAGAGGTTTTAGGCTCTCACCATCAGGCTAACCTGTGTGGTCCTCCTTGAGCCAGGTCCAGGCTTCACTGCACCCCTGCCCTTTGCAGGACAGGAAGCTGGGTCCTGTTCCTGAGTGCAGGCGCTGGACCCAGTGTGCAAACCTCCTGTGTCCTCCTCAGGATCGGCCGTATCAACCACCACACCTCTCCCTTTCCTTGTCCCCTTGCTACTAGAGTTTGCTCTGCTAGAAGTTCCTTCTCTTGCTGCCCAGTAAACTCCCCCTCATCCTTGAAAGTGCTCCCTGCACACCTCCTCCAGGAAGCACTCCCTCCTCAGCCCAGCTTTGGATACCCAGGGTACCTGGTGGTACAGCAATAACTCGGACTCCTGTTCCACCTGAGGCCAAGTGCCCAGAGCCAGGGGTCCCAGAGGTGCATCACCACTGCTGCCAGACAAGCTTATCAGCCCAGGTCCCCAGGGCATGGGAGTTTGAACTCAGTTGGGGGCGGTCATGGAGGACACAGGTGCTGGCACCCATTGGCAGCTTGGCCAGGACCTCTGCAGAGCCGAGCTGTGGAGGAGTTGGGGGCTCACAAGTGCAGATAAGGTGCCTTGCAGCGTGGCCCTGGGTAGGAGGGCAGTGGTGATGAAGGGACCTACAGCCAGGCTGCTGCTCCAGACAGGTTAGGGGCCTGATTCGTGAAGGCACAGGGTGTCCCCTGGCTGTGACTTGGCCTGCACAACCTTGGCCAGGATCCTCAGGGCCCAAGCTGGATGTACAGGTCAAGGCCCCAGGAAACGTGGTCTGTCCTTGGCAAGCTGGTCCTCTGGGCCCTCCCTGGTGGCTGGGCAGGCCAGCTCTGCCCTGACCCTCATGCCAGCAGCACCTGACCCGAGCATTAGGTCCTGGGCCCTGCAAGCAGCATGACCCTCAAGTAGATGGGCAGCCGGCCCAGTCCCCTGGGGTAGCATGGCCAGGAAGAAGTGTCTCCCACAGCCTCCCTTGTCCCAGGCCAGGACCCCTAGAGGAAAGCACTCCCTGCAGGTCAGCCAAGTGGAAACCCAGGTGAGGAAAACGAGAAACGACAGGGAAGCAGCAGCCACATCTTCAGCACAGCCCACTGGGCAGGGGACAGCAGCCAGGCACACACGGAGTTCAAGAACCGACTGCATCTCGGTAGAGCAAGGGGTGGGCAGGTGAGGACCCTGGGCTGGGCTCTCCTTGCCTGTCCACAGCAGCATTCCCAGGGGGTGGATGGGTGAGGGTCCAGAGGGCGGCCTGGGAGAGCCCCAGGGAAACCAGGGATCCACTCGGCGATCAGCAGGGCGGGCCCTAGAGCGCGCAGAAGGGGCCCGTGTCGTGGCGCTTGGGCCTGCGCGCGCCCTGAATGACCACCCTGGGCGCGGAGGGGAAGCGCGCTTCGTAGGAGTCCTCCACGTGGTAGGCGGCCGGACCGGGTGTGCAGGCTGCAGAGAGAGGGAGCTGGGAGCTCAAGGGCGCCAGCCGCCCGGCCCGCACCAACCCCGCCCCACCCGTGCGCACAGCCCGCCGACCCCGCCCTCCTTACAGGCCCGCAGCCAGGCAGCGAAGGCGGGTGAGCGGCTCATGGAGAAGGCGGGCGGGCGCTGGCGCTGCAGGCGGAACCCGGCGCGGACGTCGTAGGCGAAGGGGCCTGGGGGCTGCTCGCCGGGGGTCCGCGGGGGACCCTGCAGCAGGGAGCGCGCGCGGGGGCTCCGGACACGGGGCCGACCTGGGCGCTTGCGGCCAGCGAAGCTAAAAGCAGGGCCGGTGGGAAGGCTGGACGGCACGTGGTCTGCGGGCGACGGCCACTGCGGGCGGAGGCAGGGCTACAGGGGCTCCGGCCTGCACGCCCCGGCCCTGCCTACTTGGCCCCCCAGCCCACCGCCTGTCTCCCCACCCCGCCTCACCCTGCGTACCCCTGGGCCCCCTCGCTGTACACCACACCCCAGGGCCCTCCCCTTGCGGCCCAGACTGGGCCCCTCCGCTCCCCAGCTTCTCCTCCCCAACCTGGCGCTCGCTCTTGAAGTCCACCTTCAGCGTGAAGGGGCTCTCGCTCTGCAGCCACGCGCTGTGCCACGCCCTGCGGCCGCCGCCATCTGCGGGTCAGGGGTGTCAGTGGAACCCCCCCCCCCAAGAGAGCCCTTCCGGATGAGGCAGGGACGCACCTGGGCCTGGGTGCCTGCGGCCGATGCTGTAGTGGGGGTGCGGGGAGCTCTCCCGAACGAAGGTGCTGGGAGAGTACTCGGCAGGGCCAGGCACGGCGGGGTCGGCCAGGAGCGGGGGTCGCTGGTCCAGCACTGGAGTGGGCGGTAGAGCTGTGGGTCCAGCGCCCCCAGGCTGCCCCCCACCTCCTCCCACACGGCTAAGGGTGCAGCCAGGACCCTCACTCACGCAGCCCTCGCTGGGTCCGGGTACAGGTGGGCGGGCATTCCTGGGGGGAGCCCACACCTGACCTCCCACCGACGGGGGTCCCCTTCCTGCTGGTGGGCCGCATCTCACCCGCGCCCCAGGACAACAGGGCCTCCTCGGGCCTACAGAAAGACAGGGTGTCCACACATCCACCTTGCTGGGCCAGTGCCGACCCCACCCCCCATGCCTCCTGAAGTTACCTTTTCTGTCTCAGGGGGCCATGCGTCCAGTGTTTGCCCCCATTGATATAAAAGTTGGCCAGGAATTTCACAGCCTTCTGGTCAAAGTTCATACCCAGGGTTGGGCTGTCTTCCCCGAGGCCACTTTGGGGCTCTATGACCTCACTGGCAGGTCACCCTCTTGGTTGCCAAGAGCTCCCTAGGGAAGGAGCACTGTCCAGCTCCACAGGAACTCCCCCAGCCTGCCTGGTGGGTCACCTGAGTCAACAGCACCCTTAACCGGCCCGTGATGCCTGGTCCAGCCTCCTTCCTCATCCCCGCCCTCTCTTCTGTCCTCTGGGTACCCTGGGCTCCACACTAGCAGGCCTTGGGAGGTCTGAGGTGCTGGCTGAGGGTGGGTGGGTGGACAGGGGAGCAGGACCCCATATTTTCCAAGCACTGCAGGATGCCCCATGGGGGAGAGGAAGTAAGAGGGGACCAGGAAGGCTGCCTGGAAGAGGAGCTGGAGCAGCTGCCCAGCAGGAAACCCAGGCATGGGAAAGCAGAGCAGGGCAGCCCTGGCTCTGGAACTGGCCCGACCCCCAGGGTGGGGTGTGAGGGCCTGTCCTGTCTAGGGCAGGAGGCCAGAAGGACTGCAGAGGGCACAGCGGATGAACTGGGCTGCCCAGCTGAGCGACACAGGAGTGACAAGCTGGAGGCAGCAAGAGCCCATCTGGGCACAGGCTCTCACAGAGTGGGCTGTGGCACTGACTGCGTGGCTGTCCTGGGCCCCAGCGCTCCCAGTCACAGAGCCTCCTCCACTAACGCGTTCCTGTCACCCTTAGTTATTGCCAGCTGATCAGCCTGCAATCTCCCAAACGAGTGGATGGCGAAGGCTAAATAAATGAGTCAAGTGGTGTGATTTCAGGGCTCCAGGAGGACCAAACCCTGTAACGGAATTCGAGTTTCTCTAGGGGCTGAGACACAGATCTTCTCTGGGCGCCCGTATTTATTCAAACGAAGGGAATGCTGAAGAAAGGTGGACCCACTCAAGGGCGTCTCCAAGAAGACACTGTGTTCAGGAGAGCAGTGTAATCTCCAGGAGGGTCTCCACCCCGAGGGAGAGGCCTGCGGCTAGTCTTTACCTAGTTGGGGTTGGAGCCAGGTGTCCTTGGCTGTGGCCTTGTCTTGTCCTTTGAGGCTTCATGGCCTCACTCACCACCACAGGCCTCAGCCGGGACCAGTGACTCAGAGGTTCATTTACTATGAGTCTGACACCCATCACCAGACAAGGGGCCCAGGCCTTGGACAGACTCACAAGTGAGCCTGAGCAAAAAAAAAAAAAACAAGTGAGCATAGAAGCCAATTGGTTAATTTAAGTCCAGCTCAGAGCCGCCTCCTCGTGGTCTCCATCACCCACCCTATTCTTCCTCTCTGGAGCCCTCTTTTCCAGCAGCACTGCTGCTGGGCATGGAGGGGTGAAAATGCCTTTGATTTGGGGAGGGCGCCCTGAGTCCCACAGGACCTTGAGCTTAATTGGCAGTGGCTGCAAATGTAACTGCTGTGGGATGTGTCCTTGTCCAGTCCCCATAGCGAACACTGCATGTGGTCCCTGCCAGGTATCCTGAAGACTAGTCCTAGGCAGAGGCAGTGTCCTGTGTGGACCTGGTTCCCAAGGGAATACTGTGCTTCCAACGGTGGCTCCGGCCAGTCTGGCCATTTGCTCAGTCTTTATTTGGTCCACTTTCAACCTTACCTTTATGCACTTAGTGGCTGTTTTTTTTTTCCCCCTTAGGACATTTATATTATGCTTTTTTTTTTTTGAGACAAGTTCTCACTATGCAGTTCAGGCTGCCCTTGAGCTCACTTTGTAGCCCATACTGGTCTTGAACTTGCAATAATCCTCCTGCCTCAGCCTCCAGAGTTCTGGGATCAGAAGCATGCGCAACCAGGCCTGGCTTTTTTTGCTTTTT